CAAAGTACCCCCCCCCCGGGGGCCAAACGCAGCCCCTTAATTAAGACAAAGTCCCCCACGCAATAGAATGAAGAAAGTTCTTCATCTGCTACATGTACAAAAAATCAAAAGATTGAAACCGTCCAGTAGTTTCCCCCAGATATAACATGTTCGCTTATTTTTGAAACTTTGAAACAATAGTTTGAAAATGAAATATGGAAAAAATAACTCTGAAGAAAACCCTGAGGCAACAATATATTGAACCCAACTAATTGTGCATAGCAAAGTGATTTTGTTTTTGGCATTTTCGTAGTCGGCATTCCTTGGTTTTAATCAGTCTTGAAAGTGCTCAGTAAAATGCAAGCAACTAGACACTTGTACATCGTATTTAATCAGTAAAGTATGTGGCAATGCTTAGGAACTAATTACAATGTTGTTTATAGCAAACCCAGTCGCCTTTTTTCCTCGTACATAACTGTGCTATTGCAATATATTCAAACTATTTTAGAGGTGCTTTCATTGAATGCCGTGACAAAGACAAGGATACGCCGTTGTTGATGGCAGCAAGTAAGAATCATTTGGAAACAATCAAAAGCCTTCTGAGCCACAATGCTGATATAGGCGCCAAAGACAGCAATGATGAAACACCGATATACAGAGCAGCATCTGAGGGATGCATTGAGGCGCTGGAGGTAAGATTACAAATGTACAACAGCTGCATTTTAGGAACAATAGGGAGTTTGAGGTGGCGTTTACACTACGCCAGAAAAAAAAAGATTGAAAACGCAGCTTTATTTGTACGGTTGGGCGCCTACTGTCCACACTAATCTGTCACGAAAACGGGTCTTTCCGAAAACGGTCTTCAAACCGGAAGAATTTGACAACGCCGGCTTTGCGTTTTCGTGTGGACAGAAAACATTTTGAAAACGGAACTTTTTCGAAAACGATGACCTCACGATAATCATTTGATTTGTCTACCTGAGTTTTTTTCAATTGATTTAACGCATTTTAAATTCTTCCAGGGTATACGTAGTGTGGACGGAAAACATTTGACGCGTTTTCAGAGTGAAACCTCCGTTTTCAAATTCCTCCGGTGTAGTGTGGACGGGGCCTTGAGCAAAGACGACGGCAACGCCAAGGGCAACGTCGATTAATGATCAATTTATATCTAACCAACGAAGCTCGCAGGAATTTAGATTCATTCAGGTTGTCTATCACTGTATCAAAGCTACCACAACGTGAATATGTAAGACGGCGTCCAAATTAGAGAACGCGGGCAAAGAAGTGTACCAAGAATTAGAACGCACGTGCACAGCCATTGTTGTGCTCAGTAAACCTTTTGTTTATAGTGACGTTCCCGTTGCTATTGCGTCTGTGGTTTGCTTGAACTCCCTAATATTCATTCAAACACTTCAGTCCAGGGTCACCGTCGGGTTAAATCTATAATACCACGTTTCCACAGGGTGGTGTCTTCTACGCCCGCACGTGAAGCACGTTTCTCTGAAGTGTATTTCCAGGCAGAACCGTCGGATATGTTGCTCGTGAGCATTGTTGTGTCGAGAACATTAATACTATCGAACCTCTCCTTATGGACACTCATTTAATACGGACTTTTCTCCGCTAAGAGAAACCCTCCACTTTCCAGACAAAAACCAGAAATCATCTAATTAATCCCTATAAACTCTTTCAATACGGACACCTTTCTAATACGAACCCTTGGTTCTGTTCCTGTGGTATATATGTACGTACTAAAGAGGTTGGTCTGTTGCTTGTTCGTAAAGCTTGCGAAGAAAAGGAACAACGTTTCAGAGACCAAGTTTTACGTTCAACTCTGTTTCAATGCAAGTTATAAAACTGGAATTAAAACGCGATAAATTTCCCACTGGCCATCAATATCTGGTTGAGATCCCATGAATTTTTTTTTTTGTCTAAATCTCTTCAATAGTCAAGTGAAAAATAAAATGAAAACTTGGTTCGGAGCGATCACTCAGTGTCCGTTTAGGGAAGGTTCTACATTGTACCTGTACAACAGCAAGACGAAAGTAACTTTGTTCCCGGTTTTTTCTTTCATTCTTTCACACCAACTTGTAGTTTCTTCTAAAAGATCGCAAAGGCAAGACGCTAGTTGAAGAATATGATAAGTACGAGAACACGCCACTTCATGTCGCTGCCAAAAAGGGTTACGTTAGAATTGTTCAGGTAAGTCGATCGAAATTTCCTTACTGAAGACAGTAATAACAAGTCATTTTGTGTAATTATTTTTGCTTCTCAATTCGACTCATCCTTGTAACGTGCTGTGTTTCGTACTGACGTAATCTGTAATGTTCTAGCGTCCCCTCAGTCAAATGACGCTAACATGGTTCCCTATCACTGTAAGGCTTTGTGACGTGAGTCTTAATTACAGAAAGTTTGAAAAGACTTCCAAAAAGTCTGAATAGTCTGGGGCTGTAAATTGCCAATACATTGCTCCAAAGTTCGGTGACATGAATGAAGAAAATTCTCAACGGAATTAGCTTTAACATTGCAGTGAAAAGCAAAACATGCACTGTTGCTAAATACACGTACTTGATCCTTTCGTTCATTTCGCTCTTAGCTTCTTCTGGACAATGGTTGCTGCATTGATAGCAAGAACGATGGATCTTTAACGCCACTTCATTTAGCTGCCAAATTTGGACGTATAAGGTAACAATTGGTTCTAGTACATGTATTTTAGGTTAAAACACGAGTGCTTTCATTGTTTGTCAAAGCCATGTCTGGTTGCCTTTTGTACCATGGTACATGTAGAATGTAAGCCTGTGTTTATTTTCTCATGTATCTGTGATTTTCTTCGAGGGATATCCCAGACAGGCCTGAAAAGAGAACTTGGTTTGTGTAGTAGTTAAAGGAAATACAAACAAATACACGCGTAGGGACTGTTTCTTTTGATGAAACGAGGTAGTGGCTGCGAAGGAAGAAAGGTTTAAGCCCGGGATGAAATTTGTCATGTTATCACAACAAAATTCCAGCCCTCTTAACCAGGGTGAAATTGGCCATGTAATCACCCTCCAACCTTGTATCATTATGTGTATTAAACGGTACAGGAAATGTTAACGAAAAAGATGAAGAGGATGTTTATTACAGTAATTATAGCGACGCAACTTTGCGCAATTTGCGTCCCATGCCGTATAGTTTATACTAGAGTCTGCTACATCACTGGCTATTATTATAGGTAATAATTATTAATATATACGTCTTCCAGGACGGTGTGTGCACTTCTCAAGCGAGATATGTCGATTATAAATGACGAAGACGATGCTTCTAACACTCCACTGCACCTGGCCGCACTGCACGGGTATGACAAAGTCGCCAAGGAGCTACTCGACAGGGGAGCGGCTATTGATGCCAGGTGATTGACTTATTAATTCTCTCTACCCTCTTGCAACAGATCTTTCAGTGTAGGTCATAAGAATGAAGTAACCGATCATGTTTTGCGTAAGAACTTTAATTCTATCTGCAAATTTTGGCAAATGGTAGGAAAGAGTGTAGAGAAATTGGACGATGATCGATTGTGTTGCAGCAGGGTCATGGAAAGGAAGTCTTAGAGTGATGGATGAATGAATGGGTGTCTTGTCGTGACACAATTACATATTATATATACTACGTGCTGCACAGAGAGGACTGCATTATGTTGACCCCAGGAACGCACATAGGGTTTCAGCATTCCTTTAGAAACTGACCGTTTAATGATAGCGCACAGCTTCGCATAATATCCCTGTGGCTTGCACAGTTAAAAAATACACTAGATAAGAAGCAAGATTTAGAAATCTATACGTAATAACTTAAACACGGATGACCGTGTTCTACCCCATTTCCAAACGGAAATGTGGTCAAACACTGTCTTGAGTGTTGATATATTGTCTCCATGGTAACTAAAACTAAGCAGAAAACGGAGGAGTAAACTGAAAAAAAAAAATCTATGCTGTTACCGATTAGATATCCAAACACCATCACGGTCATGATTTCCTTTGTTTTAACTTGATGAATTATTAATGAGTTTGAGAAGTAAACATCAATCAGTTAAGTCTTATATTTAGCTACATTACAAGTCGTTATTGCTAAGACAACGTGGCCAATGCTGTGTGCTGCAATTGTGTTTGTCTAATGTTCAGTTTTGAATGAGCTTTTACCTTGTTCAGCGTCTGCGCTATTACACTTGGTAACAGATTATAATTCACAGGAATGCCAACCTTTGGACACCCCTGGATTGCGCAGCAGCCAAAGGCTGGGTGGAGGCTGCTACCGTTCTTTTGGATGAGAACTGTCCTGTGGACCCCACCGACAAGGCTAAGGTAGGCCAGGCATACCAGTAGTCAGTGTTATATTTAAATATTCCAGCTGACGGACGATTTAAAAAAGTAGAGACAAATGGGATAAATTTCCAGTTCGTTTTTGGAATCTTGCTGTTGGCTTTCCAACCTCTTAAAAACTCAAGCTTACTCGATTTCTGCACTTGCCCCTGTTTGGCTTGTAGATCTTGGATCTACAAATTCTCGGCTTCCAGACTAACCTCTGGGATGATTTTGGATTACTATTTACTGATGCAGCAACAGTAACAAGTTGAGCTTAAAGGTGCCTATAGGATGTTAAAATTACAGTCGAGCCTCTCTACAACGGCCACCTTGGGGACAGGGGAAAGTGGCCGTTGTAGAGGGTTAGCCATTATGGGGAGGTAGGGGTGTAATATGACACGTGTTCTTCTCGGGGGTACAAAATGTATATTTTTTTAAAATTGCTTATTTTATCGTAATAATACGTAACACAATCAAACTATATTCAATAAAACAAAAAATGAACAGAGACCAACGACGCGCTTGGTGACCTTTTCCATTAAAGAGTGTGGTTTTATATTCACCGCTCGTCCCTCGTTGATTAACTGGCCGTTGTCAAGAGGTTATTTTGGCAGGTGAGATGCGATTTAGTGGTCATTGCCGTTGGAGAAAGGTGGCCGTTTTAGAGAGGTTAAAATAAGAGTGAATGTATGCACTTTCCGCAAGTTTTGTTGTCTCTAAAATTCACTTTGCCCTCCTCAGACCACTCCACTTCATTTGGCAGCACGTGAGGGTCACGTGGAGATGGTCAAACTGCTCTTGTCCAGGAAGGCGAACATTACACTGACAGACAGTGCTGGGCGAAACTGTCTTGATATGGCCATTGAGAACAACCACAAGTAAGTGTGGACTGCATGACAAGCCAGCAAGAACCCTAAGATATTAAGGTTACACTTTGAGTCTTTCAGTTGTCGTTTTTTCCGCGTACTATGGCGAAATAACAAGCGGACATTTATCTTCGTTCTCTGGTTACCCAGGAGCTTGCCTTATTTTACTAATCTCTTCAGTGATTAGTTCCTTTGCACCAATCTCCGAAGTAGGCAGCTTTGAACCCGCTAAATCGGGAACGCGAGGGAGGAAAACTGTGCCAGAGTAGGAAGGAAGAGCTTGTGGCAAGCAAAAATGAAATCTGATCACCCACTACAATTCGTGACTGGCTATTGCAATCACGGATTAAAAATAATAAAGGAAAAATGTTATGCAGGCTATTTTCAAATCCAGCTGATGGTTGTGCATTGAAAATAACATAACAAAGTTAAACGTTTTGCTTAGTTTACGAAAAGGAACGCATTGCTGCGACTACTTTTGGTCTAGGATTGTCGATCGAGAAGTAAAATTCGTGATTAAGACTAAAAAGATAAAAAATGGTACCGGTTAAAAAGAGACATGAAGGATGATCTATATTTATTAATGCAGAAAATAACAATTTCAAGTTGTGTTTAACTAAGAAGCTTTTTTGCATGCATGGGCTTTGGACTACAGCTGGCGTTTGCAATGTTTATCTAGTCTGTCGTCGAAGTAAACTAATGACAGTATTGATTGTTTTAAGTTTTGTTAGTGTCTAACAACCCAATCTTTTCTCCTATGCAGGGGAGAATTCACTATTCCTTTAGAATATTAAAATACAAGCGTTTTAAACTTCGTGTAGTCACTGCTTTTATAGTATTACTTGAATCGTTAGCTTAAAAAAACGTTTCGTCGTACACTGTGAACTGTGATATTTTTTCTTGTTATCTCAGGGAAGTGGCGCTTGTTATTATCCAACACAACGACTGGAGACAAGCCATGCGCAATAAAACCAAAGACGGTACAACTATTAACACCCCAATGAGGAAACTGATCAAGAAATTACCCGGTGAGCTGCCAGTCATGCTGTTAAACTTAGAAACTCTTAAGTATCTTATCAAGCAAGAAAACCAGTCGTCGTCTTAATTGGAAATACTTTAATAACTAAGCAACTTGAGAGTACTCGGTATAGAAAAGGCGTGGCTATTCATTCCGGCATTCATTTGCAAGACGCTCGACTCGGCAATATGCCAAGGATTGCGACAGTACAAATTAGTTTCTTGCGCCCGAAAGGTGTGAAGTTGAGACGTGTTATATCTTCTCGTAGAACTTCTTGTTTATACGCATGCAGTGGGAATATCTTCACCTCAAACTCTGTCCTCAGTCCTTGTCTGATTTTATTTGATGTACATGTGATGTACTTTCTTAGCTACATAATACATGAGTAATCGTTTGAAAGCGCGATTAATTAAGGATCGTGATATCCTTAGATATGTGAAAAATTCTTTTCAACTGCACTCCCCTAAAAGCTCGTAGAATTTTGAGAGAAATTTCAAATATGACTCCTAGCTATAGTGTAAATACTTAATTGCTCTTGCATTTATGCGATTTCCTGCACTTCTAAGCCATCTGTTTTGTAATTTTATAAAGAGAGGTGATGATTATATTTTACTTAATGATTTATGCCACTGATTGTCTCGTTTGCCTTCGTACTTCAGAGGTTGCAGAGAAAGTTTTTAACAGGTGCGTCAAGTCGAATGGGTATCCTGTGGACCATCCACAGTACGGCATCACACTAAGCTACGAGTTCCTGGATGATGTAAGTCACGAGTGGGCTGGTTTTATGACCTCAGACACATCAGATCACGAGGGATCCGGTGTGGATACAGTGATGTACAAAATCAAATCTGCCTTGCCAGAGAACGCCAGTAAACAGGTGGAAATTAAAAGCAACCATCCTTTAATGCTGATGGTAAGGATAACATGGAAACAATCAGTGGCTGGTCGCCAAGGAAACGGTTAATTTTGTCTGCCAAGAATCTCTGTCTCTCGTAGTTTAGCTGAGGAGAATGGGCCATTTTGCAGTTATGTGCTGAGTTACCTGGCCTACGAATGCAAGCGAGGCTGGAGGTGACCTTGCTTCAAACCCTCTCTTCTTATTTTAAGGGCCATTGTCACGGTAAAGCGAATTTGCGCTCTTGATTGACACCAATTTTTTAACCAATAGAAACCCTAATATCGCGCGCGCCGCCTTGAATTCGCCGCGGGTCAGCCTGAAGTTTCACGTGCCTTTCGAAAATCTTTTTATCCGTCGGCTTTTTACCTTTTGTTTGTAAAGAATATTCATCATGTTTATGTTGTGCGAAGGCCGTGAGCAAAATGGCTATGGGGCGAAAGTACCTTTTGTCCCTAGCCGCTTCCAAAATCCCCTCTCGAGGACATCGTGTTCGCGACGGTATTCAACTCGAAACACGAAATATGCCGTTTAAATCTTTCATAAATGACCAAACGTTCTTCAATATCGGTGTTATACTTTTCTCCTCCCAAGGTCGATGGAGAAGGATTTTTCTCACGAATATTAACTTTGAAAACTGTTCCGTCGGATCAGAAATCAAATTGCGGAACATGCTCAGAACGGTGTTAAACGCCTTTAAATGCAAACTAGGAAGCATTAGAACAACTTGTTTCACGCAAAAATAGCCTGCGAGCAGGCTCATCATTGAGTCACGCGCGCGAGTAGTGAAGAGCAAGCGATCCGGCGGGAAGAAGTCTGGTGAAGAGGTGCCAAGAAAGTGAAAAAAATGGCAGAGATCAGAGCAGGCACACTTTCTCGTCTCGCGACTTCGCCGCTGGATTTCGCGCTCGCAACGTGCTCCAACGTGAGCCTGCTCGCAGGCTAACGCAAAAAAGCAGTGAGGTTTGTATCAAAACAAGGCTACCTCCAGCCTCGATGCCATACAAAGGCTAGGTCACTGAGCAGACAACTGTAAAATTGTCTATTCTGAGATTCGAGAGAAACTAATTTAAGAAGATTTCCGATGGACTAGTCTTTGTATCAATTGATTTGATGTACAGTACAACAAAGACATTACCAGGTCTACCTGCAGCGGCGGTCGTCGGTCAACAGCCGCGGATAATAGCGCACCATTACCTAGTGACGTCATGGATATTGTAATTTGCTCGCTCAGAGACTTTTCACATTAAACAGTGTCATTGCTAGATGTCATGTGACCTCGAAATAGCCAATGAGAGCGACCGCTGTTGGGAAAACAAATGTAACAATTTGTGTGGACTCGCAAAATTTGTTCAGAAACCGAAGCCCATTCTCGGAGACCAGAGGCAGCTAGTCGGGACGATGCGACATTTTCGGGCGACGCGATATTTCCGAAAATATCGCATCGTCCCGATTAGCTGCCCCTGAGTCTCCGAGAATGACCAAAACCTAGCGGTAACGTTACAATTTTTACAATCATACGGTAGTACTTTATTGTCCTTTGTGGTTTAACAATGGCTAACGCGTAATTGTGAATGCGGCATTCTAAGCCAGCCCTTTTCTGGTAGAAACTAAAAATGATTGCTACTAACTAACTAGTAACGACTATTCTTTTCTTTTCAGGTCACGAAGGAGCGTGTTAAGCTTCTCAGTCATCCCCTTGTCACCTATCTCTTGCGTTACAAATGGCGCAGTTTCGGTCGCTATGTGTATTACGGTCGGCTCATTCTGTACGGGATTTTCTTGTATTTCCTGACCGGCTACGCCATGCTCACCACCAAGAGCATACCTATAGCAGAGTGTCACGACATACAGTGCACGTGCAACGTGACTTTTGCAGGAGGATCGACTGGTAGCCAAATTATGTGGAGAACAATTGGTCGGCCTGTGGTGCTTGTTACGACATCTATAAGCTTATTTTTAGAGGTAAGTAAACCTTATGTAGACGAGGTGGTTAAATGAAAAGGAAAAGGAAACTAACACAAGCAAAGCGACACAAAGCAACGCAAAACAACCCATGGCAACGCAATGCCAAGCCTTGTAAAGCAACGCAAGAGAACGCAAAGCAACGCAACACAAAGCGGGCAATGCAAAGCAACGCAACGCAAAGAAAAAGGAAACTAACGAAAGCAAAGCGACACAAAGCAACGCAAAACAACNAGGGAAAGCAACAAGATACAACGCAAAGCAGCGCACCCAACGCAACGCAACGCAAAGTGGTGCATCACAATGCTGTGTAGCGCAAAGCAATGCATGGCAGAACGGTAGCTGATCCGTGCACGATCTTTGATATGTTACGTGACGAGCGAAATGAACAATTGAGAGGTTAAATGAAAGGACGTCATATATTCCTTTGTTATTTCTTTCCTTTAGATTTTTAAATTTTTCTACATGTGGAGGCTCTACTTCCAATGGAACAGACTTATTGAAGTGTTAGCTTACGTTTTCTCAATGATCTACGTAATAGATGACTTCCAACTTGACAGAACAAGCTTTACGATATTCAAGGGATCAAGGCAAGTTGGATATTATTTTCTATTTCTTCTTCTTCTTTTTTTTTTTTTATGTCTCATTATTCCTTCCATAGGGTTGGCGCGCCTGAAATTTGAATTGAGCAAAACAAAATAAGTTGAACAAAAAAAATATGTTGGCCAGAATAAAATATGTTGTTCCAAGTTGAAGTAAACCCAGACTTCTCGAGTTAAGTATAGAAGAGGTCAAAGCAACTTTAGCATTGTCTTTATTCCTGCTAGCGAGTTGGGTGGTATTTGCCGGAGTCGTCACATCGAAAATTTATTTTCGTGGACGTCGAAAGTTTCGTCTTCGAAAATTCGGGATCGATCGTGTCCGAAGTTTCGTGACATCTTCGTTATCGATCTCATGGCGGAAAGGCCGCCAACTGGTCCAGAAACTCTAACGGTAAGAATTAGCAGCAATGCTAAATCTCATTGACACCTAAATAAAGTTATTATTATTACAATATTAGTTGCCTAACACAGTAACGCAGTGATTCTTTGTTTGATGAAGCATGCTTCGTTCTTTAAGTGTAATTTTTCAAACAATCATGGATAAAACAAAATGTTAGTTTTCCCCGCTCGTGAAACCCTCGCATTGCTTGTAAGAGATCAGATGTAATTATTTCAATTTGTTTAGGTTTTACAACAGTCATTAAAAAGTCTCTGGTTTTTAACCATTTATCCNAAAAAAGTGGCTTACGAGGTGATAGCCTTGTGAATGTTTTCAATTTAGTTGTGAATTGTAATTATCGATGAAAGGCACTGAAAAAGGCATGAATTTCGCGCATTTAGGAATGTCTGAGATTAAAATGTGATCAGTGGTTTATGGTGTAACGATTAAACGGCCAGCTTGGAGATGCCTTTAGTGAAGGTTCAAATGCATTTATTTAACTAATCATAGAAACTGCATGTTTCAACGTGGTACACGCCAGTAGCACAGCGTCTTTGTTGGATCTCAAGCTTCCCTTTGAAGCTTCTCTTTGAAGAATTTGTTTACTCATACTAAGCCATTTCTTTTCTCTTGTTCAGGTAGGTCTAGCTGTAGATGACATTAAGGGTGTTCAAGAGAAAGCAGTTCTCAAGAGACTTGCCATGCAGGTACATGTGCTAAGGTCGGAACCAATCATTAGTAGCACGACCTTCATGTACAGTGCAATCTTTGCTGACGTAATTGTTAGATATTGCCTCATTAGCATGCGACTTTGCGTAGATAAGGTGTCATGTTTGATAAGATTGACTCCAAACAGTTAAAGACCTTGTAAAACGTGATAAATGGTGAAAGTGTTATCTCTTTGGCTGTTATATTAATGGAGATACTGGCTTTCAAAAACTGCAAAATTTCTTGGTGGCAAAAGTGCCGATAAGCCCATACATTATTTGTCGAATTTTGAGTTTTGAAGAAAATGCATCGCTTTCAAACTCCTTGAGANGTTAGTGAAGGTTTAAATGCATTTATTTAACTAATCACAGAAACTGCACATTTCAACGTGGTACACACCAGTAACACAGCGTCTTTGTTAGATCTCAAGCTTCCCTTTGAAGCTTCTCTTCGAAGAATATTTTTACTCATACTAAGCCATTTCTCTTCTCTTCTTCAGGTGGGTCTAGCTGTAGATGACATTAAGGGTGTTCAAGAGAAAGCAGTTCTCAAGAGACTTGCCATGCAGGTATATGTACTAAGGTCGGAACCAATCATTAGTAGCACGACCATCATGTACAATGCAATCTTTGCTGACGTCATTGTTAGATATTGCCTCATTAGCACTTTGCGTAGATAAGGTATCATGTTGGATAAGATTGACTCCAAGCAGTTAAAGACCTTGTAAAACGTGATAAATGCTGAAAGTGTTATCTCTTTGGCTGTTATATTAATGGAGATACTGGCTTTCAAAAACTGCAAAATTTCTTGGTGGCGAAAGCGCCAAAGAGCCCATACATTCTTTGTCGAATTTTGAGTATTGAAAAAAATGCATCGCTTTCAAATTCCTTGAGACAGTTAATCGTGTTATGGGGGATTGGGTGGTGAGGGGAAACNTTGTCGTTTTTTCCGCGTACTATGGCGAAATAACAAGCGGACATTTATCTTCGTTCTCTGGTTACCCAGGAGCTTGCCTTATTTTACTAATCTCTTCAGTGATTAGTTCCTTTGCACCAATCTCCGAAGTAGGCAGCTTTGAACCCGCTAAATCGGGAACGCGAGGGAGGAAAACTGTGCCAGAGTAGGAAGGAAGAGCTTGTGGCAAGCAAAAATGAAATCTGATCACCCACTACAATTCGTGACTGGCTATTGCAATCACGGATTAAAAATAATAAAGGAAAAATGTTATGCAGGCTATTTTCAAATCCAGCTGATGGTTGTGCATTGAAAATAACATAACAAAGTTAAACGTTTTGCTTAGTTTACGAAAAGGAACGCATTGCTGCGACTACTTTTGGTCTAGGATTGTCGATCGAGAAGTAAAATTCGTGATTAAGACTAAAAAGATAAAAAATGGTACCGGTTAAAAAGAGACATGAAGGATGATCTATATTTATTAATGCAGAAAATAACAATTTCAAGTTGTGTTTAACTAAGAAGCTTTTTTGCATGCATGGGCTTTGGACTACAGCTGGCGTTTGCAATGTTTATCTAGTCTGTCGTCGAAGTAAACTAATGACAGTATTGATTGTTTTAAGTTTTGTTAGTGTCTAACAACCCAATCTTTTCTCCTATGCAGGGGAGAATTCACTATTCCTTTAGAATATTAAGATACAAGCGTTTTAAACTTCGTGTAGTCACTGCTTTTATAGTATTACTTGAATCGTTAGCTTAAAAAAACGTTTCGTCGTACACTGTGAACTGTGATATTTTTTCTTGTTATCTCAGGGAAGTGGCGCTTGTTATTATCCAACACAACGACTGGAGACAAGCCATGCGCAATAAAACCAAAGACGGTACAACTATTAACACCCCAATGAGGAAACTGATCAAGAAATTACCCGGTGAGCTGCCAGTCATGCTGTTAAACTTAGAAACTCTTAAGTATCTTATCAAGCAAGAAAACCAGTCGTCGTCTTAATTGGAAATACTTTAATAACTAAGCAACTTGAGAGTACTCGGTATAGAAAAGGCGTGGCTATTCATTCCGGCATTCATTTGCAAGACGCTCGACTCGGCAATATGCCAAGGATTGCGACAGTACAAATTAGTTTCTTGCGCCCGAAAGGTGTGAAGTTGAGACGTGTTATATCTTCTCGTAGAACTTCTTGTTTATACGCATGCAGTGGGAATATCTTCACCTCAAACTCTGTCCTCAGTCCTTGTCTGATTTTATTTGATGTACATGTGATGTACTTTCTTAGCTACATAATACATGAGTAATCGTTTGAAAGCGCGATTAATTAAGGATCGTGATATCCTTAGATATGTGAAAAATTCTTTTCAACTGCACTCCCCTAAAAGCTCGTAAAATTTTGAGAGAAATTTCAAATATGACTCCTAGCTATAGTGTAAATACTTAATTGCTCTTGCATTTATGCGATTTCCTGCACTTCTAAGCCATCTGTTTTGTAATTTTATAAAGAGAGGTGATGATTATATTTTACTTAATGATTTATGCCACTGATTGTCTCGTTTGCCTTCGTACTTCAGAGGTTGCAGAGAAAGTTTTTAACAGGTGCGTCAAGTCGAATGGGTATCCTGTGGACCATCCACAGTACGGCATCACACTAAGCTACGAGTTCCTGGATGATGTAAGTCACGAGTGGGCTGGTTTTATGACCTCAGACACATCAGATCACGAGGGATCCGGTGTGGATACAGTGATGTACAAAATCAAATCTGCCTTGCCAGAGAACGCCAGTAAACAGGTGGAAATTAAAAGCAACCATCCTTTAATGCTGATGGTAAGGATAACATGGAAACAATCAGTGGCTGGTCGCCAAGGAAACGGTTAATTTTGTCTGCCAAGAATCTCTGTCTCTCGTAGTTTAGCTGAGGAGAATGGGCCATTTTGCAGTTATGTGCTGAGTTACCTGGCCTACGAATGCAAGCGAGGCTGGAGGTGACCTTGCTTCAAACCCTCTCTTCTTATTTTAAGGGCCATTGTCACGGTAAAGCGAATTTGCGCTCTTGATTGACACCAATTTTTTAACCAATAGAAACCCTAATATCGCGCGCGCCGCCTTGAATTCGCCGCGGGTCAGCCTGAAGTTTCACGTGCCTTTCGAAAATCTTTTTATCCGTCGGCTTTTTACCTTTTGTTTGTAAAGAATATTCATCATGTTTATGTTGTGCGAAGGCCGTGAGCAAAATGGCTATGGGGCGAAAGTACCTTTTGTCCCTAGCCGCTTCCAAAATCCCCTCTCGAGGACATCGTGTTCGCGACGGTATTCAACTCGAAACACGAAATATGCCGTTTAAATCTTTCATAAATGACCAAACGTTCTTCAATATCGGTGTTATACTTTTCTCCTCCCAAGGTCGATGGAGAAGGATTTTTCTCACGAATATTAACTTTGAAAACTGTTCCGTCGGATCAGAAATCAAATTGCGGAACATGCTCAGAACGGTGTTAAACGCCTTTAAATGCAAACTAGGAAGCATTAGAACAACTTGTTTCACGCAAAAATAGCCTGCGAGCAGGCTAACGCAAAAAAGCAATGAGGTTTGTATCAAAACAAGGCTACCTCCAGCCTCGATGCCATACAAAGGCTAGGTCACTGAGCAGACAACTGTAAAATTGTCTATTCTGAGATTCGAGAGAAACTAATTTAAGAAGATTTCCGATGGACTAGTCTTTGTATCAATTGATTTGATGTACAGTACAACAAAGACATTACCAGGTCTACCTGCAGCGGCGGTCGTCGGTCAACAGCCGCGGATAATAGCGCACCATTACCTAGTGACGTCATGGATATTGTAATTTGCTCGCTCAGAGACTTTTCACATTAAACAGTGTCATTGCTAGATGTCATGTGACCTCGAAATAGCCAATGAGAGCGACCGCTGTTGGGAAAACAAATGTAACAATTTGTGTGGACTCGCAAAATTTGTTCAGAAACCGAAGCCCATTCTCGGAGACCAGAGGCAGCTAGTCGGGACGATGCGACATTTTCGGGCGACGCGATATTTCCGAAAATATCGCATCGTCCCGATTAGCTGCCCCTGAGTCTCCGAGAATGACCAAAACCTAGCGGTAACGTTACAATTTTTACAATCATACGGTAGTACTTTATTGTCCTTTGTGGTTTAACAATGGCTAACGCGTAATTGTGAATGCGGCATTCTAAGCCAGCCCTTTTCTGGTAGAAACTAAAAATGATTGCTACTAACTAACTAGTAACGACTATTCTTTTCTTTTCAGGTCACGAAGGAGCGTGTTAAGCTTCTCAGTCATCCCCTTGTCACCTATCTCTTGCGTTACAAATGGCGCAGTTTCGGTCGCTATGTGTATTACGGTCGGCTCATTCTGTACGGGATTTTCTTGTATTTCCTGACCGGCTACGCCATGCTCACCACCAAGAGCATACCTATAGCAGAGTGTCACGACATACAGTGCACGTGCAACGTGACTTTTGCAGGAGGATCGACTGGTAGCCAAATTATGTGGAGAACAATTGGTCGGCCTGTGGTGCTTGTTACGACATCTATAAGCTTATTTTTAGAGGTAAGTAAACCTTATGTAGACGAGGTGGTTAAATGAAAAGGAAAAGGAAACTAACACAAGCAAAGCGACACAAAGCAACGCAAAACAACCCATGGCAACGCAATGCCAAGCCTTGTAAAGCAACGCAAGAGAACGCAAAGCAACGCAACACAAAGCGGGCAATGCAAAGCAACGCAACGCAAAGAAAAAGGAAACTAACGAAAGCAAAGCGACACAAAGCAACGCAAAACAACACATGACCACGCAAGGCAACGCAAGGCAACGCAAGGCAAAGCAACGTAAACCCAACACAAACGCAACGCAACGCAAAGCAAAGCAGAGCAAAGCATCGCAAGGCATTGCGACGCGACGCGACGCAACGCAACGCAACGCGACGCAACGCAACGCAACGCAACGCAACGCAACGCAACGCAAAGCAAAGCAAAGCAAAGCAAAGCAAAGCAAAGCAACGTAACCCAACGCAAAGCAACGCAACGCAAA